ACATTCTGGAAGCTAAGGGTGAAATCTGACTCGGCCTCCTCAAAGCGCTGCCATTCTCTGGGGCGGGGGGGGGTGGGGGGGTGGGGGGGTGGTGGAGGAGGAAAGAGGGCGTGTTCCTAACGACGCCCCTCTGAGGGGCAGAAGCGCACTGGGCAGCGATTCCAACAGGCCAGGCGCTGTAGTCCAGGGCAGGCCAGGCAGCCCATCGGGCGCCGTGTGCCTCTAACAAGAAAAAACGCACCGGACACCTTACCCATGCCTCCCTGGACAAGTGGAGGGTAATTCACCGATTTTTATCAGGAGTGATAATTTTAAACAAATGGGTGAAAAGGGCAAGAGTGAACGTGGTGAGGGGAACTCTCAGTTGTCGGCCACGATCATCCAAAGCACGTCACAGGCACTGTCTCGGTTAATCTGACAGCCTGGAACCGAGGAGGGTATTAAGATCGTGCCCATTTTATAGACAGAAACACTGAGGGCTGAGGGAGGTAAGCGATTTTACCTTCCAAGGAGCTCGTGGTAGGAGTGGGAACCGAACCCGGTCCCCCTGCTTCCTGTGTCAGGCACGGTACGAGAGGAATAAGATCTAGATTTTGGGCTTCAGGACATTAGAACGTGGTGAGAGTCATCGGCAGAGGCACACGTGAGGAAATCAAGAGCCTTTTTCCATGGGATCAAACCTCACACAAGTTCAAGGCATTCTTTCTTTGCTGTTATCCCATTAGCGTGCAACGTATGTTATATATGCAAGGACTGGTGTGCGCGCACGCACATTTTTAGGTGTTGATGTATACGCATGTGTGTGTGCGTGTGTGTAAATCCGCGGACAGGGGCCAGGCCTGTTCACAGACTTTCTCTGGGAGCCTCCTAACCCTGCAATTGCCCAGTCTCCTAGATTCTCACCGGGCAGGCGGCCAGTGGCTCTGCTTTTGTGATGCAGATGGAGGCCGGGGAAGGAGGAAGGGGAAAGATTCCACTTCAAAAGATTTAGACAATTGGCATAATAATGAGCTGGAGAGTGAGGAGGGAGGGAAGAAAGGAGTTAGAGAAGGAGGGAGGAGGAGAGAGGAAGGAGAGGAAGAGAGGGACCCACTTATAAGCAGAGAGGAGTGGGTGGAAGGGGAGGAAGGGAAAGGTGGGGACTGGAGGAGGAGGAGGAGGAAGTGTGGACTGGGGGTAGAGAGGTGGTGTGTGAGGGGGGGAACTTAGGGAGGGGAGCAGCTCAGGGGAGTGGGGGTGGGACAGACGTGAGGGAGACAGAAGGGCTAATTGGGAAGCTTTGTCCTTTGGGTCCCTTTCCACGTTTTTTAGAGGCTTAGGGAAAAAAGATGGGATGCTTGGAACGATCGAATGCTTTCCCTGATGGTACTCTGCTCTGGACTGAGCCGTGTGGACTGCAGTTCCGTGAGGGCTGTGTCTCCACCCTCCACGCGTGTACATTTTGTGCTGTGTGACCTCGGGCAAGTCACCTAGGGTGGCTGCACTTCATTTTTTCCCTTGTAAAACGGGGTGACAATAGCACCCCCCCCCCCCCCCAGGGAGCTGTTTGTGTTAATCACTTAATACACGCAAATGGTTTAGCACAGGCCCTGCCCCACGGAGCCGGATCCAGGGACAGAAGCTTCAGTTCCCAGTCCCGCTGCGTGGGGGCCACTCCCAGCTGGAGACCCACCAGGCAGAAACCCGACTCACCAGGGTGGCCCCATCTCCTGACTTTCTGCCTCTGTCTGCCTTGTCCCCAGGCTTCGAGGCTGGTCACTCTGGAGCTTCAGTTTCCTGATCCTTATCCTTCTGCCCCAGGAGCCAGGCACAGGTACCATTCTTTAGTCTCCACACTCCCTGGCTGCTCTCATTTCCCACCCCCACGGAGACCCCATGCATAGCTTACCCAGATTTGGCCCCGCCCCCACAAGTCCATCCTGCACGTGCCATCATAACCGAAGCTGACTCTTACCCATCCCTCCCAGCTCAAACTTTGTCCATGGCTGCCTGCTGCCAGAAGGATAAAACCCAAACTCCTTGGCGTCCTGTCCCAGGCCCCACGCATGGGGACCCGACCCTATCTCCTTCCTACCTTCCCCATACCTGGCCCTACCCTAAGCCTCTGCGCTGGCCACTGGCCTCGCCTGTCAATCAAATCTCCTCCGGGCCTCGCTGACCCACTGCTCCTCCTCAGCTCTTCCTGCTCCCGGCCCCTGTGCTCACCCCCCTGCACCTGCCGTGCCGCACCTGCTTAGAGAACAGTCCCAGCCTCACTTCCTGCAGGAAGCTTCCCCGACCAACTTGTGGGGTGACCGAGCGCAGTCCGCCTGGGGCCCTGTGTGCCCGAGGGCAGGGCCGGCTCCCTAACGGCCCCATCTCCTAACGCTGAGCCTTTACGAGGTCTGGGCACAAAGCCGACACATGGTCGTGGTTGGTACTCAACCCACATGGACTCACGTAGCGATGAAATGACAGGTACTCTCCCTTTTTCCTCTGGGAACAGGAAAAAGTAGGCACGCCGTTCCCCTGTGCCTGCAGGCTGGTTAACTGAGACTCAGCACCCTGCTCTCGCTTCTTCGAAGAGGCAGACCGAGGGCCTGTCCGGGTCAGGAGGTCAGAGCAGGCGCTTCCTGCTCTGGGCTCGGAGGCCAGAGTTGACTAAAATGAATGGATCTACGCCCAAACCGGTGTGGCTCAGTGGATAGAACGTCGGTCTGTGGACTGAAGGGTCCCAGGTTCGATTCTGGTCTAGGGCATGTACATTGGTTGCGGGCACATCCCCGGTAGTGGGTGTGCAGGAGGCAGCTGGTCGATGTTTCTCTCTCATCGATGTTTCTAGCTCTCTGTCCCTCTCCCTTCCTCTCTGTAAAAAATCAATAAAATATATTTAAAAAATTTAATAATAAAAAAATAAAATAAAATGAGTGGATGTATGTAAAGTGCTCAGCACAGTGCCTGGCAGCTAGTAGGTGCTCAATAAATGATGGCTGTTTATCATCGGTTGGAGGGGGAGAGGGAGTGGGGTGCAGGGCTACGGGAAGAAGGAGTAGGGGTTAAGCAAAACACACACACACACACACACACACACACAAAACACACAAAACACATAAAACACAACAACAACAAGAAACCAGAAACCAACACCACAACACACTCCTCATAGACTCAGACAACGTATGTGGATGAGCAGAGGGGAAGGGGGTGAGGGGAGGGGGAAGAGAGTCAAGGGGGGCAGATGGTGATGGACGGAGACCGGACTTGGGGTGCTGAACACACAGTGCAATAGTCAGATGACGTGTCATAGAATCGTGCACCTCAAACCTTTGCAATGTTGTTAACCAATGCCACCCCAATCCATTCAGTAAAAAAACCCACAGCTGTTCATTACCACCGTGGCCGTGACCGCTAAAACGAATGAAGCCCGCGCCACCTCGGCCATTCGGCGGGTCTGAGCCGGTGTTTGCTGACCGTCTGCTCTGTCCAGCTCCTCTCCCACCGCGCTTGCTTGTCCCGCATCCCCAGCAGCCAGCGGGAGAGCTTACAGGAAAGCAGGCTGGAGAACGGCCGTGCCCTCTTTCCAGGGGCCCCGACGCTCTGGCCCGACCCGGAGCCTGTCCCCGGGGAGAAGTGCTTGGGGACAGGCCCTCCTGGCAGCGCCCAGCTCCCTGGCCCCGGACACACTGCCTCACCCGGTTCTCCGCCCCCGGAGGAGCCAGCGCCTGAGCTGGGCCGACGCTGGGCCGTGGCGTTAGAATTCTGTGCATCAGCATTGAGTCTTACACACACAGTTCAGCTCGGTCGCAGGTGAGACTGAGAGTTTTCCTCCAGGATGGAGGTGGTTTTTAGCAAAGACAGGATATGTCTGCTCACCACACGGCAAACCACACAGGAGTCAGTGGTCAGGGCTGCCCACCCAGAGGCTCCCTGTGGGGCCAGCGTCCTGGGAGGCCTCCACTTGCTCCCCTTTCTCCATCCAGGTCCCAGCGAGAGGAACTGGGACTCAGCATCCCACCAGGGGGCCGAGAGCGGCTTCTGGATGGAATTCCCTGAGGTTGTCTCCCTCCCTCCCTCCCTCCCTCCCTCCCTCCCTCCCTCCCTCCCTCCCTCCCTCCCTATAACTTCTTTTTGCCAGTGTGGCTGCATCAAGCTCCGTCTCACAGTTAATGCAGGCCGTTTGCAAAGAAGCCTTTATGTACTTATCCCATCCACCACTTATCAGCCGCCTGGAAACTCAAGTGAAAAACAGTCCCTGTTCTAGGACGTCCTCTTCCTACAGGGAGGGGAGCCCCTTAGGGTCTCAGACCCCCCCCCCCCCGCCCCCGCCGCCCAAGGCAGAAAGCACACCCCTTGGTTCAAGGGAAGAAAGAATCCATTCACATGGCTGCTCCCCGCCACCCCTCCCCCCCCCCCCCCCCACCAAACAAGGCACAGAGAGATCTAGGGAGGGATGGTCGCCAGGTAGGCTGTTGCATTTGAGACCTAGTTCCTCGCCTGGCCGGTGTGGCTCCGTGGTTGAGCGTGGACCCAGGAACCAAGAGGTCACCGGTTTGATTCCCGGTCAGGGCACATTCTCAGGCTGTGGGCTTGATCCCCAGTCGGGGGCATGCCGGAGGCAGCCGATTGATGATTGTCTCTCATCGATGTTTCTCTCCCTCTCTCTCCCTTCCTGTGGCTCTCAAATCAATAAAAACATGTTAATTTTTTTAACGTACTATGCAGTGCTGTGGGAGTCCCCGTTCAGAACAGTCACCCGCCCTCTCTCATCTGCAAGATGAGGCCTGGAGCTCTGAGGCTGTTGTCCTTGTTGGCGACTTTGCTGGGAGGTCTGCCCCCCAGCGAAGCCCCTGTCTGCGCGTTCCAGGTGGGGTGGGCCTCCTGGCGGCCCCTGACTAACTTCTCTCCCCCACACAGCACCGTCTCCTCTTGCGCCCGGAAGGCGGCCTGGCACTGCCAGGAGGACGTGGCAGGGGACCGACACAGGCCCTCTCCTGGCGGGGACCCCGTGCCCCGCGGCCTACCTTTCTCTCCTTGTCGCCGTATTCGATGCCCAGGGTGTCCATGGCCCGGACGATGGCTGCCAGGGACTGGATGGTGTTGCTGTAGACGACGGGCTTGTACTGCTTCACGTCTTCTCCCGAGAAGCCATCCTCGTGGATGATCCTGGGGAGAAAGCACACACACCCACCGATGAGTGTGCCTCCCCACCAGGCCCGAGCCTCTGCCTGGCGGAGGGGGCCGAGGGCCTGGTCTGACCCGGGAGCTGCATGACTGAGCCGATGCGTTGGGACCATCGGATCCAAAGGAAAAAATCTACCCGAACATTAATCTTTTTTTAAAAAAATATATTTTATTGATTTTTTTTTTTTTTTTTACAGAGAGGAAGAGAGAGGGATAGAAAGTTAGGAACATCGATGAGAGAGAATCATTGATCAGCTGCCTCTTGCACAACCCCTACTGGGGATGTGCCCGCAACTAAGGTACCTGCCCTTGACCGGAATCGAACCCGGGACCCTTCAGTCCGCAGGCCGATGCTCTATCCACTGAGCCAAACCGGTTTCAGGCCGAACATTAATCTGATGAACACAGCATCGTGGGGAAGAAAGGCAGTCGTTTTAGATTCCCTCCACACGCGAGCACGGCCGTCAGCAGGCGTGGGCGACACTTGAGCGCGCTTAGCACGGGAGGGCACGCCCGAAGCACCCAATCCATGCCAGCTCTTCGCGGTTTTAAGCGGGGCTCAGGGTCTTCCCTTCCACTCAGGAGGGCAGGGCTTCCCCTCTGTGCTATGTGCTTTGTACCCACCGTCTCGTTTAAGATTCAAAACAATCCTAGGAGATCAAAACTACGATTTCCCACGTACAGGGGAGGAAACGGAGGCTCAGAGAGGCCACACAGCGGCAGCCGAGGCCCTGCTTGTGACCACCGGACCGGCCTTCACACAGAGTGAGCATCAGAGCACTTCCTACACGCCAGCCCGAGGCGTGTGAGGCCAGGCAGGGAGGGGTCTGGTCGGAGGCTGGAGAAACAGCCCGGGTTTGAGTCCGGAGGGGGACAAGGCCAGGCGTGGGAGAGCAGGAGGGAGGCAGCTGGGACACCTCAGCCGCAGTCAGTAAGCATCTTCCTCCGCAGGGCTGAGTGACAGAGTGCAATGTCATGTCCCAGAGACGTCCTGTGAGCCACTGGATCCAGCCATGCCTGAAGCTCACATTGCTCCTTCACTGGTGAGTGATGGAAGCCAGTAATTCCTTCCTATTTTTGTAAAAGCTCATACAGTGGTTGGCTCAAAGAGCCGCATGAGAGCCACATGCGGCTCTTTGGCCCCTTGTGGGTGGCTCTTCCACAAAATACCACGGCCTGGGCGAATCTGTTTGGAAGAAGTGGTGCTAGAAGAAGTTTAAGTTTAAAAAAATTGGGCTTTCCAAAGAAATGTCGGTTGTTGTCCTGTTGGCATTTGGCTCTGTGGACGCATGAGTTTGCCGACCAAGAGGACCCGAGTCTGTCACTTACAGCCAATAGCGTCTGAAGCAGGTTCTGTCCCTGGATGGCAACCACAGCCAAGGGTCACCGCTGAGCAGACTTGTTAATGACCCCTCTGTCTTTGCCACCAGCCTGTCCGCCCCTGGACTTCAGGTGATCACACCTCAGTTTCCCCCTGTCCATACCACCTGGCACAGGCTGGCCCCAGACAGGACTCATAACTATAGGACCCAGGAGAACATGGGGGCACAAAACCACCCCTTTCTGAGGAGCTCACTGAAGGAGGCAGACGTGTGCGTGCGTGTGCGTGTGTGCGTGTGAGTACATGTGATGCCAGGGCAGGAACCCACCGGTGTTTTATGCCTGCAGAGGCAGAGCCAGGGCAGCAAAGGGAAGCCGAGCTTGATGCCCACCTGGAGCTCAGGGGCCCTGAGAGCTGTTGTAAGCCACCAAACCAGAGGCACTACGGGGAGCGAGCCAAGGCTGACTCTGCAGGCCTGAGTGTCCGGCTTTGGACCAGGGCCGCCCGGCTGGACTCCGGAAACCTGGCATCGCAATGGGGAGATCTCAAGTGGGAATGGGGAGAGGGAGGGAGAGCAGCACCCAAACCCTCGAGAGGGGCGGAGCTCTCTGGGAAGAGGCCACGGAGGAGGGGCCCCTGGCTCCCTCCCCTGGGCTCCCCTTTGCTGCCTGGGGCCCCGGCAGGAGCAGGACTTGGGTTCCCCTGCTCTCTGCTTCTCCCCTTTGCAGGGCTGCCGCAGTGAGGCTCCCCAGACACAGCGGCCTTATATGGTCACAGAGCCTCGGGCTCGGGAGCTGGAAGGGACCTTGGAGGGTCATGCGGCCCAGCAGCCACTCTCTAACCACAGACGCCTGTGAGATTGTGACGAGTGCAGCCCACACACAGCTTTGCCCCCAGTTCCTGGTGGTTCAAGGCTCACAGCCCCTCAGCTGCCGGAACACGCCGTTTTTCACTCCACTTCCCGGCCGGCCCCTCCTCTGCTTCCCTGCCTCAGCACCCGGCCCCCTGCACGGAGCTGTCCCCCTCCCCGCCCCCCTGCTCCATCCTCCCACAATCCCTCCACAATCCCTTTAAGGATCTACGTAAAGGGGGAGTTTCTAGAGACAGACTTGAGCCCTAACCGGTTTGGCTCAGTGGCTAGAGAGTCAGCCACTGGGGATTCAAGAGTCCCAGGTTCGATTCTGGTCAAGGGCATGTACCTTGACTGCGGGCACATCCCCAGTAGGGGGTGTGCAGGAGGCAGCTGATGTTTCTCTCTCGATGTTTCTGGCTCTCTATCCCTCTCCCTTCCTCTCTGCAAAAAATCAATAAAACGTATACAGACAGATTCGAGCTGTGTGACCAGGCCTAAACGAACGGGGTGCTGGGAGGGTGGTGGGGGCAGAGGGTGTCCATGTTTTAAGCGACTGGCTGGGCAGAGGTAGGATGTGTGTGTCTTGCTAAGGAATCCTGGTGGGACAGGGATTTCTGTGTTCCCAGAGTTCCCAGGGAGCAGAGGCACCGAGACCTGGAGGCCCCGATGGGGGGCGAGGAGCCCTGCTCTCCTCCAGGGCTAAAGGCCTTAAGGGTACTGCCTCCTTCAGTCCCCTCCTCCTCTCGCCCACACAACTGATGGCTGCGTGTCCGGTAGACTTCCCAGAGCACCCAGAGACAGGGGCGAGCAGGACAGACACAGCCCCTGCCTTCAAAGGATTCACAGGCTACAAGGGAAAGATAGGAAATAAAGAAGTAAACAAACAAACAATAGAGTAATGCCCACAAGAAGGGTAGTTAATGATGGATGGGGGGCAGAGTTAGGAGCCAGGAAAGGAGGTGATATGTAAAGCTGAGGCCTGAATGATGAGAAGGAGTGGACCTTGCATGTATGTGAAGAAGAGCACTTGGGGCAGAGAGGACAGCACGTGCAAAGGTCCTGGGGCACTTTGTGTTAGAGGCAGGATGAGGAGCCGGTGGGGTTGGAAGAGGGCGAGTGGGGAAAAAGCCAGTGAGGGTAGCAGAGACCCAATCGCAAAAGACTATGCACCACTTACATATTTTTTCTTAATAGGCATTGAAACAGCCACCTATTAAAATAGAACACCGCCCCTCAGTGTGCTTTCCCAGACCATCTTGACTTCCCCTGTGGTTCTGCTCCACGTGTGGACCCATCTTAAAGGAAGCTGCCCCCTCCTCTTCCCCTGACTTCTCCAGGCCTGACGGGGGCCTGCTCTGGGAACGCTCCTGGATCCCAACCCACCCAGCCGAGCGAACTAGGAGCGAAGAAAACCCGCCATCCGGCGGCCACCATCCCACCACCCGGAGGGAGGCTCCGCCCACCACGTTGGCGTCTACGACAGGCCTTCTACCCGGGAGCCCACGTGTGTGTTGCTGGTTCTCCTGACATGAAATCACACTGCGTGGCTCCGTGTGGCCCAGGCACCGTCACGGGCTGCCTGGTGGCCCGTGGTCCGAACGGGCCCTCCTTCATTCAACCCAACCCCTGCCAGGGGACGCTGCTGTGGACGGAGCTCTTCCCAGCCTCCCTCGGCTGCTGGGGAGGCTGCTGGCCCGTCAGCCCTTCATGTCCTCCCCAGGAAGACACAAAGCCACACACCCGGACGGAGCAGGCCAGAGGCAGGGCGGGCCCCGGCCTCGCAGGCTGGGCCTGGGTGACGCGTGTGCAGACGGGACCTCTCAGCGATTTGAAAAGAAGAGAGGAAAGGACCCAGCGGAAAAGCCAGCTCCTTCGCTCTGGGTGAGAGTGTATGGCAAGAGCAAACGTGATCTAGAAAATAAACGGGACCCCCCTCCCGCCCCCTTAGTAACGAATGCTCTATGACAACATGATGGACTAATAACATTAGAACCACGGAGACTACGAGGGAATTCACGAGAACAGCGGGCCACTGCCGAGGGGGAGGACGGCCGCAAAGCAAGAGGTGAGTCCCGGGGACAGTGACTTGCAGAAATCTGTTCTGAAGAGGCCGTTTTTTAATAAGCGAGGGAGCGCGGGCCAGAAGCAAAGTCGCCAGCTGCCGGCGGTCAGCAGACGGAGCTGGGGGCCAGGCCGGGACGCGTGGTTCCGGGACGGGGCCGCTGCCGCTGTTATCTGCGGAACAACGTGGCCCTGCCCTACCCCGGGGCGCTCGGCGCTGGGGGTAGGGGTGGGGTGGGCGTGTGTGCCAGCCCAGCCTGCGCGCACGCGCATGTGTGTGTGTGTGTGTGTGTACACGTGCATTGTGAGCGTGCGTATGTGTCTGAGAGCTGCCTGCCAGGCTCTGTACCTTTTCCCCTGGTCTCAGTCCTGGGACCCAGCTTTGGATGATAGATACCCTGCCGTGGCCTAGGAGGCAGAAGACCCAGGTTTGGACGCTCTGAAATGAGGACTTGTCTACCTCACTGAGCTCAAGCCCTGCCCACCTGTCACCCCCTCAGACCACTCTGGCTCCAAGAGGCCCTTGCCTCTGTGATCCCGTCTTTACCTGACTTATCTTCCTCATAACACCTACCACCCCCTGAGGTACATGCTCCCTGCTACGGCGCCTGCTCCCCCAGATGCCCAGAGTTCAGGAGGGCAGGGACCTTGTCTGCCTCGTTCACTGACCACAGCCCCTGAGCAGAGCCCAGCACACAGGGAGTGGCCGATGAGTGCTGGCTGATGGCTGAACCAAGCAGGCCACTG